TATACGGACTTTGATCGATTATAATAAGTTTAGTTTCCTTATTAAACACTATCCTTCATGCGAACTTGAAAACTTACGCTTTAATTTTAGGGCCTTAAGACATGCAATTATTGGTATTCAAAGATATGAGTTATCTGTCGATGATACTGGTATGCGTATTGATCCAGCGGCTGCAAGGCAGGCTGGTCATTTTTTGTCGACAGACATCCAGAGGTATAGTGTTAATTCTACCGGTATGGCAGGATATCAAAATACCACAGCAACAATATATGGATATTTCATTTCCAAATCCTGGATAAAATTACTGGGTCTTGGATATGAAGTTTCAAATTTGGTTCCTAAAGATGTAAAATTAAATAAAGAGAAGCCTAATTTCCTAGTAAGTGGTAACATGAAAGGCATTATTGCTAAATGTGACGAAATTTATGGAGACTCATTTAAGATTAAACCAGAACAGATGGAACTTTGTGTTGATGTTTGTTTTGGTTCCTCTGATATTATTCCAGTGTATGCTCTTCCTGGCTTTGGTAAAACAGTTATATTTGAAATACCTTTGAATATAATATCAACTAATAAAAGGAATAAGCATTTTGTTTCTTTTGTATTTGTGCCATATAGCTGTCTTCTAGACGATATTATGGATCGTTTTAAGCTGTCTGGTACTTTGAAAATTGGTGAAGTTAAAGATATTCTGCGCAATCGTGGATTTTGTGGTGAATCAGAACTTACCTGTGACGTTTATTTTGGAACTTTTCATGACTTCGGAAAAGAACAGTTCTTGAATTTAATCAATAATTGGTATGACATTTTTCAAAATACTATACTAGGTATGATGGTAATTGATGAAGCTCACAATCTTGTTTGCGAACAGGAATATCGAATGAATTCATTTTACAATATTTCTAATATATGTTTTGACAAAGCATGGAAGGTTATACTCCTGTCTGGTACTGCTGGTGAAAATATGATGGGAGATGTCACTAAATTTTTAGGATATAAACAAGAATTGACATACGATGCTACTGATGACAAGAACATTTTTTGGTATAATTTTGTTAAGAATGTTCCTTTAAGTAGAATAGATAAGGAATTCATTCTTACTAAAGACAGATCTGAATCCATTACTTTGACTTTGCAATTGGTTGAAGGAATTATTAAGAGTATTGATAATCCCAAAATCATTCTTGTTTGTAAGGAAAGGGAAATGGTGGAGATTATAAATGAAAATTTGGTTAATAACAATATTTCTTCTTGTTATGTTCATGGAAAATTAACATCTGAAGAAAAAACCAATTCATTCAACAGATTCAAGAAGAATAAAGAAAAAAAAGTTCTTGTTGGAACTAAGTTGGTTTCAGAAGGTATTAATATTCCGGAACTGAAATATGTTATTTTGGTTGACTATCTTCCTCGAATTCATGAATATATCCAGACTGCTGGTAGAATTAGAGGAGATGGTGCATGTATTACACTGTGGAATGAAGCATGTAGAGATGAATTCTCCATCAATTCCAAGTGTATCGTGAGCCAAATGAGTAACTTTTATGGCCTGACAAATGCATTTGAGCATAACTCTTGTTGTGGTTCATATCAATTTTTGAATAATAATTATTGGTGGTTGGATATTTTTGGTAAGAAGAATGGAAAAGTGAATAAAGTGATAGAGAAAAGGAGTGATAATATTAAATTGAATTTTGGAAATTTAGCTAAAAAGAGAAAACTTATTCTTACAAGAGCGAATAGAACGATTCACCCAAGTAAGAGGCCTCATAATGAAATAAAGAAAACTGAATCTAAACCTGACTTGAAAGAAGAGTTCCATGCAAAATTTGACGATGCAAGTGATCTTTATGATTTCTTAGGAATTGATGGTATGTATAAGTCAGCCTTGATTGCAGATGGAGTTGAACAATCCTACTTTGATTTTGTTCTTTATAATTCTAAATCTTGTTCTGATTGTACTTATATTGGAGATCCCTGTTATTGTTGGAAGAAGAAATTCACTGTAAAGCAACTAGGTATTAGCTGTTTTGCTTTTATGAAAATGGCTATGACTGATGAAATGTTTTCAGCTGAAGTTATACAATTGAAGAAATCAGGTCTACTGGAAAGAACACTCCATTTTGTTGAACAAAGTTCTTCAATGAAAGAGTTATTTAAGGCAAATCTATCTGGATACTGTGATTTTATGACTTCTGGGAATACTTTTGAAGTGAATGAAGCTCATGATTTCAGAATGATGGTAAATACTTATAACGTTAAGTGGAGATATCTAAAGCAACATAAGTTCGACATCTTTTGGTATTTCTATAATGGGTCACTTCATAAAGCTCCAACATTATGGGAGCAGCCATACGACGAATATCTAAGGGAACTTGTTCAGTCGAATTTCAGTAATTATGCAACTGTTTCATTTAAGGCCACTGAGGATACCAGTTTTAAATTCTTTAAATCATTATTTAAGTTTGAGAAATTGAAGGAATGTTCAAAATATGATCAAAATAAAGATATGAAGCAACGTTCGAAATTTGGTAATATTGACTTAGATTTGTTTGTTATTGATAATAAGAAATTTCTATTGATGATACTTGGTCTCTATTATAATGTTACATCTCGAAACATTTTGAACAACTTCTATACCCAGTTGCCTAATGTAAAAATGTTCCACCAGTGGATGAAACTACAGAGGACCTGGATAAATATTAAAACATTGAATTTGCGTAATTTTAACATATGTCAGCCATTATATTATTATTATCCTAAATTTGTATTAGAACTCAAACATCCTAGAAAAAATACTAATTAAGTTTGTACTGGAGATATATTATATGTGTATATTAAAATGGATATAAATCTTTGTTGTGATGTCGATGTGTATTACTTATAGAACCATTCATTGTCATAACCAGACCAGATAATCGTGGCAATGCCACGATCCAATGATGTCAGGCTCTGTTTCATAAGGCCATCAAACTCCACCAAAGCTGATATCTCAATTCTAAGCCAAAGTGAAATATTCTTTTTAATATTCTTGTAATTCGTTATTCACCCTGAAAAGATTAAACTTTTCTTCTCGCTCACAAAATGAAAAAGTTTTTCCCGGTCGGTGATGTTTGTTAGGGAAGGTATTAAGACGGTGATGGCGTAAGGTAATGAGGATGAATGTTGCAGGTAATAGTAAAAGTGTTGATAATTAAAGTAATGGTAGTTGAAGTAGTTGTAGTTGAGTTGAGATAATGAAAATGGACATCTAAGGTAAAGGTGACATGGAGATTAAGATTATTGAATAAAATATGGCATAACAATAAAAGTTAGTCTATAACAGTAAGCCGATGGTTAGAGAGAATATTCAATAGTGACAGTGTCGATTGTGAGCGCAGATTCGAAACCAACAGGGTGTATGTATCCTTGGATAGAGGAACATCAGTTGGGATAGACTGTGTACCAGATTGAGACATAGTTAGGATAGTATAAACAAATTATTGATTGGATTGGATCTAAGGTATAAGTACAATTATACGTTAGAAACCTCTAAAACTGTTGTTCTTACATATCATTATAGAAAGAATAACTAAAGGGTGAGAATAGTTTTATTAACATACAAAACTATCCCTATAGATGCCTTACCAATTCCATCTAATTGGTCTAATTATATGCTGATTTGTTGTTTTGCTGGTATACTGGTTTGCATCTATTGATTCCCAGAATCCAACACTGGTAAGAGAAGTTTTGCAGAAGCAGCTAGGTAAAATTGAGTTGGAAGTACCTATGATAAGCATTCCTTCAATGTTATAAATTTATAAGACATCTATAAGAAATATGAATATAGTTAACACGGAATGATATATATTTGATTATCGTACTTATGTCGGGCTTAATTAGAAACTGAGAAGCAGAAATAGAACATAATAGAAAAAAATTATCGTTCAGAGGCTATTAGCTGAAACTTAATTCAGTATGCACTTATTATAGAATTGCATTTTCTGTAAGATCCATATCATCACAGAATCCCATTTATACTAATTTTAGTCATATTACATCATGATTTTGTTTAATTCGCTATACTATTAATGATGTATTAATTGGTGTTCTCATCAGGAATTTTGCAACTGTGTCATTGCATAGGTAGAATGGGGTTTAATCCATGTGTAGTTTAATTTATATATTATATAGTGTGTACTTCTGATAGATATATTATCACAACCAGGTAACTGTTTACTCTTTGACTGTATAAGCTAACATATGTATTTGGAATCAAATATTGAGATAGAAAGAAAATACCATATGGCCAGGTAACAGAAGATAAGAGGTAGGATGAGAGGACGGGGAAAAATTAAGAAGCGGCCCATATTATATTTATGATTGAGTTCTGAAATTATATGTACAATTTTTCAAGTGAATTCCTTGTGGCAGAAATATACACATTGGATTGTTATTGAAGACTTAGTATTCAACAGAAACATATACCTTTTGATAAGTTGCAGTGTTAGCATCTAATACATATCGAACAGTTCTATGTTATTAGATTAAGTGTGTGTTAACATATATCAATGTTACAATTACTTCCATGCGATTTTTTTATTTTAGAAAAATGTCGAAAGCCTAAATTCGAGTTGTATCACCAATGAGATATTATTGGAAGCTGAGAGAATTGATTTAAAATATATTAATGTATTGCATAGCATCCAAATGGGTTTTTCTTCTTAATCAAATTAACAGTTTAAATTAAATGGATAAAGTTGAATTTACTTCCTTCACAAGTTAGTGTTGAAGTAATATTCGTATTATGTTTCAGATTTGAAATATTTATTTTACCTTACCACAATTCATTATAATATTATGCTAAATTGCCAGATATTAATGCTAGTTATTTATTTCGGTATCAAACAGTCAGAACATTGAAATATAAGTATGGTTTAAAGTTCTATTTTATAAAAAATTCTTTTTTGGATGGAAGTGGTAGTAGAATTGGAAATGGAAAAAATATTAATGTTAAATGACAGAATATTAGATGTTGGAGGGAGAGGTTGGTACTGAAGATAAAATTGTTAAATGCCACATTGTATTACAATTTAAGTAGAGTTGTTGTATATATGTATTATTTGATTATAAATATTCCCTGT